TCGCTAGAAATTTTGGTATTGTCTTATTGCTCAAAAAAAAATACTTTTCATAAAAGTATGCATACAGACAACAAAAGACAGAGGTATACTGTATTTGAAGGTACAAGAGTTGCACATTAAATGAAGCCAGTACTGTACAGGTACTGTACTGTACTTTGCAAAGAGTTTCAAGAGAGGGAAAACTTAAAATAATTTAGATAAAATTACTTACAGGTATAATGTGGTAACCACTTAATACTAAATGAGAAGTAAGCTAACATATGTGAGATTTTCAAGAAAGATAACAAATGATATACAATATAAAGGTGATACTTAATGATGACAGGCATAAACTGCTACATTACAGAATCTGTAATTTTAGCAACAGTACAGAAAGGGTTTTTATCATTACAGTAGTGTACCTGTATTAATAACAGCAACGATATACAAAATTGCATTTTAATATAGCCACTAGAACACTTAAGTATTTTGGGAATAACACAGAATAAATTAGTAGGAATTCAAATGTTAAATGGGGGTAAACACTTAATAATGAACAAGTAAAACAATATATGACTTGAATAAGCAATTTAGCAAAAATAAATAATGTACATTAATGACAGTCATACATTTTTAGCAAATAAAATTTAAGATATAATTATTAATTACTTGGGATGATGATAATTACTTGGAATGATATTTGTGTGGGCGAGGATTTTGTATGCAGTAAACACCTGCCAGAAGAGGGCTCTTAGTTCAGACATGATGCTGGGTGCATGTCAGGCACGTGCTTCGCCTTTTGGTCACTGATAACATGACACGATTTCTGCTCGTTGGACTCTCGATATATTGCAGTAAGGCATCCTTCAAATTTCTATGATTCTTACGATATATGGTGCATTTATCACCTGTAGATATATTGAAGTAGATAAATGTGTTAAATTTTATCATTTGATCTTTGACTGGGAAGAGGAGTCCACCCACCATCTGTCAAATTTTTGGGGAATTTATGGTTTGCTCTCAGTTGGGGTGACTAAGCTTTTGCTTTACTGGGGGTCACAAGAGGAGGGTGATGAGTACTGTATTTGTTGAACATGGCCTGGATTTTTGCCATTAGGAAAAGGAATTAAGATATTCTTCTTGATCATTCTATGTCAAATGATCACGGCTCCCCAATCTGACCATCTCTGATTTACATGAAATTTGGTAAAATGTTAGTGAACATGAAGTAACATATAGCAATATAGTTTTGTCCTGCAATATAGTCGATATTGTATAACATTTTCATCTTATCTTGCCCATTTGTGTTGGGTGGGGTGGGGGGGGGGGGAGCTTGAAGTCATAGACAAAATAAAAAAAATATTGGTCACAAAAATGCAGTGATATAATTCTTCCACTTTAAGCATTACCCAAAACTTTGATAGTGTTTTCATTCTCAATTTTTGCATCAATATTTATACATAAACTTGCTCAACATCAGCAATCCCTACAATGCCCTTACTTATCCTGGTGAGATAAGTAAGGCAAATTGCTTATCCTGATGACAGTCTAACAAAGATTACATTATGATGTATACAGTACCTGCCTTACCTGATTTCACTAATATGGTACATTTATATAGATTGCAATACAGTACTCTTAAATATTTGTTATTTTTCTGATAAATACAACATTCATTTCACAGGTTGGAATGCAGGAGGCTGTAACACTCTCCAATGGGATTTTTATGCCATTAATCGGATGTAAGTTGTGATTGAAAAATTATTTCCTCTATACTTATTTAACACTTTCGCTCGCCAGGCGAGCGAGCGCCAGACCACCCCAAGGAGCGCCGCACATTCCACGGGAGCTCGCGTTTTTTTAATTTTGGTTTTGACTTTTTTTTCAATTTTGTCGCGTCAATTCTCGTCCTAGGTCTTTCATTTTGGTATTAATGTGTTCGCGATAAAATTCCCTACAGGAGTATATGCATATAAAGTCCAAAAGCATGGCGTACCACCCGCAGCAAACAGAGAAAGTGACAGTGCATTACCCGTGAGCACTCGTGAGCAATAAAATGTGTGTACTCTTTTTCAACTTTGGGCAAATCCAGATCACCTCAATTCACCTCAGTTCTCGCCCTAGGTCTTTCATTTTGGTGTCAATGTGTTTGCAATGCAATTCCTTACAGGAGTATATGCATATAATGTCCAAAACTGCGGCATGCCCCAACCATAGCCAAGCTGAAAGCAGGCCAAATTTTAACATTTTTGATGCCATACTGCGTCATTTCTGCATATTTGTCTACTAAATTTTTGACACCTGTGTATTTTTCTTCTTACTATTCAATTTTTACTCCTCAGAAGGGATGTGGGTGGTACCTTGGTCGATAATAGTTCACCCAGGGCAGTCCTGAACTCAAAACTTTTTCCAGTGGGAACATATATTCCATATGAGCTCACTTGTTCCAGTGAGAACAAGTGGGCTCATGTGGTGGAGACTGTGGTTTGTCTGTGATGTCCAGTGAGGTTTTGGTAAATGAACCTACGTATTCCGGTATAGCCCAGTTGAATTATGAGATGGAATTAATGTCCATTTGTTAAGGCTTATTATAGTTGAAGCCTGTGTGGAAGCCAGCCAGCGTGTTGGAGACCTGCCAGCATGTTGCTGGAGAACAGAAGTGTTGTTTTGACACCGTGACGATACTGTAGAGGACTGGCCCATGATTTACTGAGAAAGGTGAACTCGCCTTCGTGAGTACCATAGAAGACAGACTCAGAGAGGGTACCTTGAGTGTTGTACAATAGAATATAGAAGTGGACTCGCCAGGTTAGAAGATCGCAGGCATTCGTTTGTAGTGTCCAGTGATGCAGTGTGGCCGGAACTCCCTGGAGCCCCGCTCCAGCACCTTCGCAAGTGGATAATGGAATGGGGGAAAGGGAGAGGGGATGACAGGAAAGATAGATTGATGGCTTGTGGGTGATGGTTGATCGTGGCAGGAAAATATTAGTATTACATCACTATTAAGTTATGAATGCTGTTTTTTTTTTTTTTTTTTTTAAGAAAAACGTGAAGATAAGAGAAATAACAAAATAAACCCGGGGTGGGGGGAGGTTTCCTTCCTATATAGTCTGGATAAGTGAGCTTAGACAGTATGTTCAGTTGTTTATTTGAGCTCCTGAGTCATCTGTTGACACCAGAAGCAACCTTTTATTTCCTGGTTATTATAAAAAAAAATAACATGTACACAAATGAATTTTTTTTTTTTTCTAACTGCTGTTTATATTATTTCATATTATAAAAATGTAATAATAATATATATTTAAATGGAACCTGAATTTTGGTGGATTTAGTTATACAGTATCCAACACTATAGGTGCTTTTTTTTTTTTCTCCAAGAGTGTCTTGGGATTATGTCATGCTCGCTGTTTAACATTTTAAGTGTGTTGTCATTTACTTTCAGTTGGAACATACAAGATCCACGGACGTGAGATCATTAACACCGTAACAAAGACAGCACTCCAGGCAGGCTACAGATCATTTGGTAAGGAACTGTACACGAGTATTGCAATGTCTCGTGTTATGAGACTTATCTTTTAATCTTTAATAATTATGCTAGTGTTGTATTGCATGGAGGAGGGTGCGTGTAGTGATGCAGTTCTTATCTGGATACTGTATCCTGTTAATGGCATCCCTGCTTTCCCTGCAGGTATGTAGTTTTGTTCTCTACAGTAGAGCTGTTGCACTATTATATATCACATCACTCATTCTTAAAGTTTTATTTATGTTCACATTTCTGGTTGTGGCCAGTGAAATGTCCAGAAAAGAAATTGTTTGCAGGATGGGCAATTTCCTTCAGACCAAAGGATATCATTCATTTGTGAATTATTTTTTCAAGTACAGGTGTTAGACATCAGACTGGGCAGGAAATTGTAATGAGTGTGAAGATTTTCTCCTAAGATACATCAGAAACCTTTCCTCCAAACATAATTTAGTTGACCAAGCCTGTGAGGTACATTGACAATCAATTTTGGCATCCCATGTCAGATCTGAAAATCTGAAATTTTCAATATTAAATTTAATCATTATTTTTAATTTTCTTGTTTTTCAAGTTACGTTAATAAACATTTAGACAAAGTTGGAGTGTTTGCCTAGTAGATTAAGCACAAAAAATTTGAAAGCGTTAGAACAAGTTTGATAAATTAAACTTATGGTACCATTGGGGCCTGTCATATATATATACTCCATGCGCAGTTTAAGGCTTAAGGCATTTGTTGGGTTATGACTATAAATTTGGTGTCAAAATGTTCACAAATGAATTCTCTAGAGAACTGATGGAAAAAATAAATGTGTACTTTAATAAATTGTGTGAGTGATGAGAATAGGAAAGTTTATGAATATCAACTGGATGACGTATTTTTGCACCATCGGAACATTTACTGGCCAAGATGTACTGTACAGGGCTCTCACAGATAATTGGTAGGAGGGCAGTTAAACTTGTTCAGGTGAGCATCAATGGCTTTGTATCAATTTAGATGTGTTCTAAGGAAGCTATCACCACTGGCAGCAGCAACTTATGAGTGAGGTATATTTGTAAGTGGCTACAACAGGAAGATGGCCTGCAATGGTTGTCTCCATCACTCATAGTCTTATGAGAATAATTAATCAAACTCGTTCATATTTATGTCTAACAACTGAGGGGGCCTGACAGCTAAGTGGACAGGGCTTTGGATTCGTAGTCCTGAGGTTCCGGGTTCGTTTCCCGGTGGAGGCGGAAGCAAATGGGCAGAGTTTCTTTCACCCTGATGCACCTGTTCACCTAGCAGTAGATAGGTACCTGGAAGTTAGACAGCTGCTACGGGCTGCTTCCTGGGGGTGTGTGTAACAAAAAGGAGGCCTGGTCGAGGACCGGGCCGCGGGGACGCTAAGCACCGAAATCATCTCAAGATAAGCTTTATTTTAAACAATTCAGCACTCCTATGTCAATTATATTACCCGATAATTTATTTCAAAAATTAACAACCCATGTTTCCGTACCAGATTTACTTAGGGTTGTTTTCTGTAACCAATATACATATAGTGCATACATACTGTATATGCTGTATGTTGTTTTCTGTTCTATTCTACATAATGTGAGTTATGCTTTCTTTATCTCTCCACAAGGGAGATTTCTAATTTATGGAGTTAGCCTAACTTTGCCATTCATCACTTTACACATTAAAGTGAATTTGTCCATTCTATAGTATGTGATCAAAACTGATCTACACAATATAAATATGGCATAACAATGGCCAAATAAAGCTGGAGAATGACAATTTATATCTTAATGCTAATGCCTCCAGATATAAATCCCAGTATGCTTTTTACCTTATTTTGACAATTTACATATTAATTTTTTTGGTTAAAAATTCCCCCTGGTCATGACTTCCATATTGTTTTTGCATTCAGATTTAGCAATTTCAACCGTGTCCGTCATATGTCTGGTAACTCTATTATCATTACCTAGGCTTAAAATCTTCAAACCCACAGATGTGACCAGTTAGATCTTCAATGATATTAAAATTTTAATGAAGCAATTGCATTCATTTTATCTAGAGAAATTGGTGCCATTTCCCCTATTACTATGACATTAGCATCAGGTTGTAAATAAGCCAATCGAGATATTCGGCTAACACACATCCATGCACTTCTGCATAGTTGCTGGTGAAACAAGGAATATACACACATGATCAAATTTTGCCAGGCTCCATCTGCATCAGACAGAGAACCCTTCCCCTTTTACTTAGTACTTAGTTCACTCCCTCACCCACAACCCCACAGATCTGAGGTTGATATCACACCAGACCTGTCCTCTGAAGCCCTCATCAAAAGGATAACATCAGCGGCATATGCAAGGCTGGTGAACATAAAAACTGCTTTCAGAAACTTGTGTAAGGAAACATTCAGAACCTTGTATACCTCAAATGTCAGACCAGTACTTGAATATGCAGCTCCAACCTGAAGTCCACATCTAGTCAAACACAAAATGAAGTTAGAAAAGGTTCAGAGGTATGCCACCAGGCTAGTTCCTGAGCTGAGAGGTATGAGCTATAAGGAAAGATTGCTGGAACTAAACCTCACAACATTGGAAGACAGAAGAGTTAGGGGAGATGTGAACACTACCTATAAAATTCTCAGAGGAATTGACAGGGGTAGATAAAGCTAAACTATTTAACACAAGGTGTACACGAACAAGGGGACACAGGTGGAAACTTGGTACTTAAATGAGCCACAGGGATGTTAGATCATCTTCAGTGTCTGAGTAGTTAACAGATGGAATGCATTGGGCAGTGATGTGGTGGAGGTGGACTCCATACACAGTTTCAAATGTAGATATGATACAGTAGAGCCCAGTAGGCTCAGAATCTGTACACCAGTTGATTGACAGTTGAGAGGCGGGACCAAAGAGCCGAAGCTCAACCCCCCCTCCCCCGCCCGCGCAAATACAACTAGGTGAATACACATAGTGAAACACATTTTATAGGTTGGTGTTTGCTTAGTTCCATGTATAGTGCCATGCTGGTGTTTAATAACAAAGTATATTTTAGTTTTTTCCATTTATAACAAACATCTTAGTAATAGTCATAGTTAAATGTTGTATAATCTAATTCTGTAGCTATAAGCTCAATATTCTAAATTATAAGCTTATTTTGGTTCCATTTTTATGCACTTCAGTTGCAAGGATTTTTTGTGTTTACTATTTGTCTAGAATTTGTATTTGTTTCCTAGAACTATGTATTTTCTAAATAAAATTTATATGTATGTTTCACTGTTGCAGACACAGCAGCTGTGTACAGGAATGAACACGACCTGGGCGAAGCTCTGCAGAAATTTATGCCAGAGTTTGGTCTTGCCAGGGAAGATATATTTGTGACATCTAAATTAAGTAAGTCATTTATTTATAGTAAATGTATATGTTGTGGGTATATAGCACATGTCAGGCATTTGTCTTGTCAAATGCTTTGTGTATATATATACCAGAATATTCTGTGCTTCACTACTTTTTTTTTGTGCTTCCATATTAACTTCCATATTAGTTTTTGTATAAATTGCTTGGGTGGAGTTAGGGTTTTTTTCTGGTTTAACCCTAAAGGACAACACGATTTCCTTATAGCTTAATTCGCAACTGCAGTGGAACCTCGGTTGACGACTGCCCTAGAAGGCATTTTTTGGAACATAGCGTCAATTTCGTTGTAAAATTTGAATTGGTACACGACGGTTTACTTGGAAGACAACGTCTGTTCGTACGCGTTTGGGTCGAATGAGCACGTGGTGCTGGGGTCGCAGGGCGAGGCGCTCTCAGTTTGTTTACTTTGAAATCTTTGTAAAGAATTTCATTGTTTTTTGTTTTGTTTTTTTGTTTTCTGAACAGTAAAGTTCTTATTATATATCATGCCATGGGTCCCAGGATGGTGAGGGGACTGGATTGATTGGTGGGGGGGGGGGGACTGGATGGATGGATAGGTGGTGTATGGATGGATGGTGGAGGGGGGAGACTGGATGGATGGATATATAGATGGTGAGGGGACTGGATGGAGGATGGTGAGGGGATTGGATAGATGACTGGATGGTGAGGGGGCTGGATAGATGGATGGAGGGTGAGGGGACTGGATGGATGGATAGGGAGTGGATAGATGGATAGGGGGGGTGGATGGATGGATGGATAGTTCACAATCGACTTGAGAATGGTCCAGGACGGATCGAAACGTCGTCGTCCCTTCACCTTCTAGTGTGTGGTCTGGCCAACATAGGAGGGTTGGATGGATGGATGAATGGATGGTGGGGTGAACCTTCATCCACCACACCACACCCGCCCTGCTAACCCCATCCCACCACTGGACACCTCCCCGCTACTACAGTAGTTACATTTCTGAGCTACGGTGAGCGAAATGTGAATCAAGTGCAAATTGGCAAGTGGCAGCAGTTGTGTACCATGCATCATTACTATATTTTTAGTTTTTGTAAAATAATGACTTTAAAAGATTTAAGTATCCATATTTTTTTTTTATTATTATTTAATTGGTGTGTTTTCAAAGGTGTGGAAATGTATTCTGAATTTGGTTGAAAGCATCTTGAGCATTGTGTTTAGTATAAGAAGTTGTGGTGCGAACAATTATGATCAGTGTAGGACAATATGATTTGACTATGAAAATAGTTTTAATCCATTTTTATGCTTTATCTGACAAGTATGTGCAGTTTAAAAATAGAGCAAGAAATTAAAATATCATGGGGGAGATGTGTAGTGCAAAATTTGATAAATTGCAAGATTGAGGAGAGCTTAAATGGACGGTTTGAGCATATTGGACAAATAAATGATGGTAGATTGGTGAGAGTATTTAAACAAAATTAATGATAGGTGGATGTGAAAGAGAACAGGAAGAAGATAGACCGACAGTGTTAGTGAGAGAGGAAGCGTTGAACAAATGTGAATAATGCATGAGATAATGAAGAGGAGATAAGGCAGCGGAATGTAAAGAGAGCAAGTGTATTTAAACTGGGTATGATATATGCTAATTCACAGGGAGCACCACACCTGGTCCCGTGAAGCAATGGCGTGCTGTTGTAAATGACTTGTGGAGAGTGGTGGACCTTATACAGTATTGTGAATGTTGTAATAAACAAGTGCGATATTTTTTTTTCTAATATCCACAATCTTATTTCACTATTATTTCCCCTTTTACTTTAGATATATGCCTCTCCACCACATGAAAATGGGAAACAGGGTTATAGTAATGGTTGGATGTGTGTATGAGAATATAAAACTGCAGTAACTGCTTGTAATTTATAAGAAAAACAATAAAAAGGGCTTCCATATTGTACAGTATTTTCCTAACAAGTTAAATGTTCAACTCTCTTATACTGTATATTATAAATATTGTTATAGTAACTTAAAAACTGAAGAAGGATTTTTTTTTACCTTCTTTTCAGATCAGTTCACTGTGAAAGAAGTTCAGGACTTATCATTTGTAATATAATTAATATATTATCATCATATAACACCAGTTGTTGAAACGTGGTGGTTAGGGATCCACCTTAAGTGTGGTAGCTAGTGTGAATATTCATAAATAATGAGTGTCTCCACAGAGACAGTTTTGGAAAAGATACCCGAGCTTGATACTATGAATGAGGAGCCGGGTACGAAAATTATCACTCAGAAAGAGGTGAGAGACATAAAAGATAGATTAACTTCAGTTATTGACTCGTGTGGGTTTGAGTGCCATCCTTTCAAAATTGGGTGGTACAATGAGCAGGTTGCAAGATGTTTTCATCTACCGTACCACAACGATACCTTGGCCTTTGTTGCGATCAGTACTCCAGGTATGTTTGAGAAGGCATTCATTCCATTCTTAGCGAAGGTGGACTGCTTAAAGATCAACCAGGACCCTATAGATCAGTGCATGATACAACACCTTTCTGCTATAAAAAGGGAATTCTCTAGCACAAGCATTGAAATAATACATGATTTTGAATTGACTCCAAACAAGCGACCCAAAATCTTAGTCCAGACAGCTGGACACATTGCTGGTGCTGTACGGTTTTATCAGCGTAAGGATGTAACTTCTGACCCATGGGATCCTAAGAAAAAGGTATTTGGGGTGTGTCTACATCCAATCTACGGTGGTTGGTTTGCTCTCCGGGGTGTTGTTATTTTCACAAGACTCCAGTGCCCTGAACTACCTAGACAGCAACCCAGGTTAGTTTTATATACTAAAGTATCTCTTTTTTTTGTTTTTGTAAATGGTACATTGACTATACTTTTACAAATACAGTATTATCAGCATTACATAATTACAAGCAATATGAGCGATTAATATTAATGACTATACTTAACCTGGCAGGGCATTAACATTTATAATAACAGTTATGGATGAGTGTTATCTACCCGATGATATCAGCACTTGAAACTGCAAGTGATATATACTGTATATAGTGGAATATACATAGGAAAATAACTTCATAACTATGCTGCTTGATTAGCAATATATATAACAACTTTAATGCCATTGCAAATCTGTTCATTCTCTAGTGTTCAGTATTTTTATTTTTGTAATGTAGCATGACACTGTATTGACTTCTTCCTTAATACAGTTATCCATTTAGTATATAGGACTATATCTACTTTTAATAACTCTACAATGTTTTTGACTTTGGCTACACTTCACTTGGTAGTTCAAGTTTATTGGCTGTGAATGAACATTCAATTTGTGATAACCACCATATATGCAGTGGTGGAATATATCCAGAGATTTTGTGGCCAAAGTTAACAGAGAAAAAAAGTTATTCTTCGATCGTGCTTCAAATGTGGGTAAATGGCACTTAAGAAATGAATTGAAATCAACGCTATTATGAAAGAGATGCACTAAAACTCAAATTTCTGTCCTCCCCTGCCAGAGAAATTCTGAAAACCGAGGAGGAGGTGGTTGAACTGTTGCGTCGTTATAACGACCGCTGGCATGATTGGTCGTTTAGAGACATTATCCCTGTGCAGGAAAAATACTCTGAAGAACAAAAAGAATATTTTGGGACCAGGCCTGAAGACAGGAAGATACTAATTGAAAGGTACCAAAGTTTGAAGAACAACATCTAGGCAGCAGAATCTCGCATTCTAATCATATCTTCCACCTTTGAATAATAATTAAACAGTTATTATTAAAGAGCATACTGCTTATTCAAATAAGCAGTATGCTCTTCATGTATTGGTACAAAAGTGGTCTATAGTGTATGCCTGTAATTGGCAGCAAATAGTTACAGGTTTTCTTAGAAATCATTGCACACTGTAGAATGTGAATTTAAATAAATGTTTTTCTTGCTGCATTGTTGTGTGTTGTTACAAGCTGTGTTCAAATACATTTGCTCAATGAATTCAAATTAACTGTTGTTGCAGCTACAGATAATCATATATGCACTGTAATTGCATGAAAGTTGATATCTGCATGTATATAAGAGAGAAGAACTGGATCCACTATAAAAGACATTTTCTTTTAACCATCACTTGACAATAATACATTATCCTGAGATATGATTTTTTTTAGTATACTCGAAATCATTGCTTTCTTCTTAGTCCAGTGATGGGATATGATGACATGGTCGTGCTGTCATATTATCCTATTGCATTATTGGAATAAATGTGTTTATTCAGACTGTATCTTGGTGTGGTGTTGTGATAAAATGGGAGAGTAATAAAGTGTGCATTGTGCAATATAATCAAAAGCTTGCGAGGAGTGTGACTCTTCGGTCGATCAGTATTCAAGTTCTTGTTCATATAGGTCAGTTTTTTATGGGTTTCATTTGTATTTCTAAGTGTAACTCCCTTACACAGTTCTAATGGCTGTTACTCACGCATTCAGTTCTACATGTTCAGAAAGTTCAAATTCATTGAATGAAACTGTGAATGACTAATTATTGTGTGAGCACAGTTTCCAAATACATGAGTGTAACTCGCACAAACATGAGCTTTTGGGTATTTTATGGGAATGGTTCTATTGATAGTGTTTATTGATATGTAGTACTGTTGTTAGCATAAGGTAGGGCACAAGTGCTGCTAATTAACACCTCAAGGTTTATTGACAGCTGCTGAGCATATATATGTACATGTATATACAATATATATATAAACCATATACTGTACATGTACATTTTAAACGGCACTTATGCCCTTTATACTTCATAGTTCCTCTTAAAAGCAGCTTAATAACTGTACCACAAACCAAACTTTTGCAAGAACTACCAGTCGAGGACAAATCTTTATTACAGACATTTCACTCTTCACTGAACAAATCTGTAATACGTGTGGAGGCTTGTCCTTAAATCATTCAGTTGTATCCCAGGTTGGATTACTTTCAGCATGTGGGTCGTCTAGGGCATGTTCTTAGCAGAGCCCAAGGTGCATGTTCAAATCCTCCTCGCAGCTCCTATCAATTTTCTCATTGATACATCTCGTTAATATGATTTCTTTGGGCTTCTTAAATGATGCTTTTTGCGATAACTTTCCACCACCTGCCCTTTTCCACCAGCCAGACGTGTAGATGGGTACCAAAATTCCTCATTAGGACACTAATGAGGAACACAGACAGTGGCTGAGAACACACACTGGATAATTACTTGCGGAACAAATTCCTGTACGGAAATACAGTACAGTAATTGACAGCGATGATACATAATATATAAAGCCCCTGTTTGTTAAAATTTCACGAGGAAGAATAAGTGCTGTAGTATGGTGAAGCAGCTATTAATTTAGTGTGTTTTAAGCAGCTGATTACATGTTAGACTTAGTTCTTTTAAAACATTGTTAAGTATGTTATTTGTGTTCCAGATTATCATCTTAAAATGTGCTCATTCTTCAGATACTTGGATTAGGATAACTGCTTTCATTTGAATTATGTACAAATTAATTGCATTGTACTTATTGCAAGTTTCATATAGTACACGTTTTATGTACTACAGTATATGATGATGATTATCAGGATGTTGAATGATATATGCTTCATGTATTTTGTGAGTAAGCAATATTGGATAGTAATGGTATCAGAAACCTTGCACCATTGAGTTTTAGGTTGTATTTAGTATGCTACTGTAGTGTAATTTTAAGCTCACTTGAGGCAGCAAACCTGTCATGTAGCTGTGATGTCAATATTTTGAGTTGAAAGCTCAATTTATTATAAGTTCGTTATAGTCAAAGGTTGTGATAGATGGTAATACATTGGAAATAAAGTATTTATGCTTAATAAAGGATGTTATGAAAATGGTTCTCTTGTTTAATTTCATGTAATAACACCAGTGTATGAAAGGCTGCAGATACTTTCTTGTCATGAGTCAGTGTACAGTTGATGCATTGGTGTCTTGTATTGTGTTACTTCTGCTATAATACCCTCTTGTATCCGGATGCATCGATGCCGGATGTTGGCTGGATAGGGATACCATCTTCTCCACATCCAGCCAACACTTGGCTGGTTGTGGACAAGATGGCGTCTTTCAAGTCTTTATCATGTGACTTGAAAAATATTTATGAATTTTTTGTCCTAAAATGTAGAGTAGTTCATCTAAGAGGACTTGATTCTGTGTGTTAGGTACAGATATAAATATTGATGCTGTGTGTTAGGTACAGATATAAATACTGATGCTGTGTGTGAGGTACAGATATAAATATTGATGCTGTGTGTGAGGTACAGATATAAATATTGATGCTGTGTGTGAGGTACAGATATAAATACTGATGCTGTGTGTGAGGTACAGATATAAATACTGATGCTGTGTGTTAGGTACAGATATAAATACTGATGCTGTGTGTTAGGTACAGATATAAATATTGATGCTGTGTGTGAGGTACAGATATAAATATTGATGCTGTGTGTGAGGTACAGATATAAATACTGATGCTGTGTGTTAGGTACAGATATAAATACTGATGCTGTGTGTGAGGTACAGATATAAATATTGATGCTGTGTGTGAGGTACAGATATAAATACTGATGCTGTGTGTGAGGTACAGATATAAATATTGATGCTGTGTGTGAGGTACAGATATAAATACTGATGCTGTGTGTGAGGTACAGATATAAATATTGATGCTGTGTGTGAGGTACAGATATAAATACTGATGCTGTGTGTTAGGTACAGATATAAATATTGATGCTGTGTGTGAGGTACAGATATAAATAATGATGTGTAATTGTTGTCTCAAGAGTTGGAGATGATCTCAAGGTCAAGGTCTCAATGAGTTAAAAGACCTTGGTTTGTAGTTGGAGTAGTGTTTCCTGCATCTTTGACTTCCTAAGTACAGAATCTTTAAATTACCGACTCCTTAGGTTCAGTAACAGCATTTGGATGCTGTCTTTAGTCCCTACAGCTTTACTTGTGAGTGCTAAATTTGATGTGCTAATAATATTTGTTTCCTCTTATGGTGCTTTATGAAGAATTTTGAAAACTGTTGTATGATTAATGTTATTAAGAGGCCATCTTTAATTCCCCCACCCCAGTGTTGCAAGTGTTATGGCACTGGGCAGAGAGAAAGCACCCAATTTAGAGATAATTAAAAACCAATGACACAAGGCAGATTTGCAGCAGAAATACGTTCTTGAGCGACGCATAACCAAAGCTCCCCAGCACCTGCGTAGATTGACCAGTGCTGAAAATAGCCAATAAGAATACCCTGCCAATGAACCATATTCTTGTTTGCTAAATCTGCTACTGAATAAATGTAGCAGGTATAAGTGCATTTGCTATTGCTACATAGGGATTTGCTACATTTGTCCACATGCACAGGAGCAGTGATGGCATGTTATCTCTGTAGCTGTGATTTAACAGAGCAATATTTACGCACTTTCTTATCCTGATTTAACAGCAAACTGTTGTTAATTTAAATAACTGTAGTGGTATTACACATCTGCAATACAGATGTGCAATACCACTATGATATGTTAGGACAAAAACCCACACTTATGTATTTGTGTATTTTATGTAAAAATTTACGCCAAGTCTTGCACACACACTCACATCAATATTTACAATAACGGGTCCAAAGAGCCAAAGCTCGACCTCCACAAGCACAAATAGGCGAGTACACAAGACTTGGTGTAAATCTTTACATAAAATACATAAGTACACAAGTGGGTTTTTGTCCTAACGTATCATAGTAATGTATTTGCAGATGTGCAATACCACTACAGTTATTCTAGATTAATATCATTGTCTTCTAGATTAATATCATTTTCTGTAAGAAGACATTACCATTACTTACCATGATATCTTATAGTAAACTATTCACAATTATTATTGATATTCATTCTATGGTGTACAGTGAAACAAAACCAACAATTTCTGTGAATGCCAATAAATATTTAACTTCCTATTCATTGCATTCAGTTAAAAAAAAGCATATACTGTACTGTAATATTTAATTCACAAGTGAAGAATGTTTCAAACTTATGAAATTTCATAATAGGATGTGCTACATATTGTTCCCGGCGGGGCGTCTTTCCTTTCATAATAGTATCCGATCACCTCCATCCTCTAAATCCTTCGTGATCTTTTCTGGAGGTAGTTTTTATTCTTTATTTATTTTTTTTTTATTTATTTATTTATTTTTTTTGTATGTACCAACAGCAGCTGGGAAAAACTTTGCAAATACAATGCAACCAAAGAGCCATTCTAATTTCTCAACTTGCAGCATATTTTATGACAGTGAACATCATATAATTCACACACAGACTTGAATGAGAGAGCTTGTGATACATGAGCACGTCCGATAATGTAGAACCATTGTGTGTTTTAGGTCCTCGTGATCAAGGACGAGAGGAATGTAAAAGAGCATTCAGCCAGTCACTCGCTGCCCTGAAGGTGGATTATCTCGACCTGTTCCTCATTCATTGGCCGGGTGCCCAGAAATTGAAGGTGAAGTCTGCACGAGATGTTTGTAAAGTATCTTTATGCTGAAGCCGATTAAATAGATATCAGGACACGTCTTCTGGTGTTTATATGCATCAGTAAAGCTGTACAGTACTCTAGTCCGATATTACAAATGGCCATTATATTTTTATTTGTTAGTACAGTACAGGTATCTATATCATTTTATTTTTTACCTTGTTGTTTGAGCTGATGCCTTCTAGTCCCTTGAAAGTAGGTAGTGCTGTAATGATATTTAACAAATTAATAAATAAATTATACTGGATAAATTACAGGACTTGCCTTTGGTTATTGTTTTATGTAAAGTATGTTGTGAATTAAATTTTCAGATGTTTTGAAAGAACAATCTGCTGCTTTGTTATTAAAATAATACAATACAGTACAGTATGTCCATTGATGTTACTATGTATTGTATTTATGCTGAACACTTCATTTGTTGCCAAGATTTAAAATAACCATCACTCTTTCTACCGCCAGCCTGAAGATCCAAGGAATCAAGTACTAAGAAATGAGAGCTGGGCCTCCTTAGAGGAGATATACAAGTCTGGAAAAGTTCGTGCTATCGGTGTGTCTAATTATACTGTATCCCACTTGAAAGACCTCCTTCGGCATTCTACAGTGGTGCCTCATGTCAACCAGGTAAGACACTAATTAGGTCTACACTCTTATGTCTCAAACGTACAAGGCCAAGAGGTGAAGTATTCAAGATTTCAAAATAATGGAAAGGTATTGTGATTGTTTGCACAAAATGTTCCTCCGTGTGTTTGATTAGCTCATGTGTTGCTTATAATGATTGTGATGCTTAATTTTTATTCAACTAGATCACATTAATTTGTCACATTGTGGACAAAATGGATATGTTTGATTTTACAAAACTTGTGTACCCCCATTACTTGATTTTCTATAGAATGTAAATTAAGTTTTAATCTCTCATCATAAGGGAGGTTCCTAATGCCTGGAGTTTAATTTTGTCATTCTGCTTTGCACACTTTCTATGGAATTTGTTCATTCTATGGTACAATGACCAAAAGAGAACTGCATAATCTAAATGGAGCCTAACAAGTGCAAGATAAACTAAAATAACTTTAGATGTGTTATAAGTGATGTTCAGTATATACTTTTTTCTTTTTTATTATTAATACATTTAGGTACATCTGCATTTGTGCAGCTACCCTAGACTAAATGAAGGGGAGTACAATGTGTCAAAAAACTAGCTACATGATGCTAAAAATCCCCATCACACAGGATGGTTAGTCATACAGAGGCATGTGATATGTAGTCTGCACTGGCAAACTCTGGGTGCATTAGGATATCATCATGAACACAAGAGTGTGAATAAGGCAGCAGTGATAGTAAAAGTCCCCCATCTTGCAGTATGGCTAGTCATACAGGGCCATATGTTCAGTAGCCTGCGCTGGAAAATTTTGGGTACATTATGAGGATATCCTCAAGGGCACGAGAGTGAATAAAGTAATTGCAAAACTCCAGGTACCTCATGCCAACGGGTCTGAATGGTCTGATAACTGGGCATTCAGTGATGTAGTGTGCAAGATCATGGCTCGGTTCCTGTTCACAGAGTTTGAACCTGGAGTGCTCAGGATTGGGAGATCCATCATACCTGGCACAGGTAACGGTAACCCAACCTAATCCTGGCAACCTTTGTGCTGCCCATAAACACAGGTTTCAAATCTGAACAAATCATAGTTTTTTATACTGGTGCTTTCAGGTCGTTGGGAGTCGGTAATTTCTCTCCTATCAGACCTGAGTGTTTGGAAGAATATAGTTTTGACAGCAGAGATGGGGATATCTAGGTCTAATTCAGCTTCATCTTTGTTACATGCTAATTTGGCTGTAATGTCTGTGTCATTATGAAGGGTTATATTTGTGTGTGATGGTATCCATACAAAGGAGATTGGAAACCTTTACTCTGCAGCGATTAGGTCATTTATAATTGCTAGTACAGTATGAGGTTCTTGCATCGATCTTCCAGGAGAAGTTTTTGATTGCTTAAAGAGCAGACTTTGAATCACAAGATATTTTTTCTCCTATGTTTTTTTAATGTATTGGTAGCTAGTTGTAGTGCCACTAGTTCTGCTTGTGTGGAGATCAGCCCGTTGTTTAACCTGATACTGAAAGTCTGTGTGCAAATATTATTTCTATAAAACCTACATGCTGCTGCAGTCCGTCTAGTAGAAGATTGGACTGAGCCGTTGGTGTAGACTCAGTGCTCGTAAAATCTAAAATTTTCAATGGAGGAGACAATTGACAGCTTTGAGAAGAGCCTACTACGTCGAGCCTATTATGTCTACTAAGACATAAATTCTCATTACCTTTCTTGGTGACGGGTCTTCATGATACTTGAATGGTGGGGTACAGATAAAGAGGAATATCGGAGACTATATTGTGTGTCTTGTGCATGAAAACCCCTTTTATCACAGGTTGAGTACCATCCCTATTGTCTGCAAAAGGAGTTGAAACAGTTCTGCCAAAGCCAAGGAATTTACCTTCAGGCTTACTCGTCTCTTGGGACTACTGTAGAGAAGAGTCCACTGTTGCATGACCGCACCTTGACCTGTGTAGCTAAAAGGTTGTCGCATTCTCCTGCTCAGGTGCTGCTCCGCTGGGCCACACAACAAGGCATTGGTCAGTGTTAATGTTTTGTATAATTTATGAAGGATATTGAGAAAAGATAATATCTAGGAGGCTATGCATGTCTAGTTTCTTGCTTTTAGAAAGCTTTTATCATTAATATAATTAGTATCAGAATCATGAGTATTGGATGAATATTGCTGGAAGCCCCACCTCAGGTTAAAATACCTGGTAGTTTCCCTTTCTCTCATTGAAAGTTTACAGCTTTACTGTATCATATTTGCATTCACACTTAATATTGGTTTGGTACGTGTTTAAATGAGGGTTATAGCTTTTAACACTTTCGCGCTATCTGGACGCGCCGGCGCGTTCGGTTTCGTCTAACGTAAACGCATAGTGGACATAAAGTTATGTCTACTTTTAAAATATTTGTATAAAATTCAATTTTTATCCGATTTACTTTGGGTTTGTTTCAAACTGCGCGCTATGAGGCTCTCTTTCTCACCACTAGGCTGCATGGTACAATAAGTTCATGAAAGGTGTGGATAACTTCGATCAAATGGTATTTTGTCCCAAACGGGTTGCAGGTGGGTGACTTTAGCCGTTTATACTGGTAATTCTTCCCCCATATCATGTATTATATGCATATGTCTGTTTAGGGAATTTTATTCCGATCAATATACAACCAAAAATAACTGTGTGCAACAAGTATAATCTTGACAAACATAACAAAAGTAAAAATATTTCGTGTGTGTTTGACGCTCACTGATATGTTCCAGCGTTGTTTTATATTGGTCGCTATTCTAACTTACGCTTTGTTGATATTTTTTACCTATGGGCACATAGAACATTCTATTGCGAACACATTGACATAAAAATGAATGACGTACATAGAAAATTAATGTCATGAGAGTGAAATAAGTATAAACTTTCAAAGCGCCGTGCGTCGTCCCGTCACCGATACCGGGTAACAATTTCACCACTTCCCACACTCTTGCGGGCGGGCTGCATCATTATTCTACGCTTATATTCATATCACCGTGTTGGGAATTTCATTGCGAGTCCATTGATACCAAAATTAACGCTGTAGAACAAGTGTGGAGGTGATTACAATCCCAAGAGTAAAAACATTTTGTTGCTGATGGGCGCTCACGGCGAGTCATCTACGTAGTTATTTATTTGGTGCTGGTATCCCTATATGTTTCGTGACTTATTTTACTAATGTTCTTCTAGAGAATTTTATTGCGAACACGTTGGTACCAAAATGAAATACGTAGCATGAGAACTAAGGTCAGAAGAGTAAAAAGAGTATACACATTTTTGTTTTTACGCTTAAGCGATAAAAACGCAGCGCGCACATTCGGTTGGCTGAGTGACCTTTGCGGAGAGCGCGAAAGTGTTAAGATTAGCATCTCTTATTTCTTCGATCATTTTTCTGGGAGGGCTATCTCACAATCTCTCCAGGCAAGGCCACCTCACAATCTCTCCTGGCAAGGCCACCTCACAAGCTTTCCAAGCAGGGCCACTTCATAAGATCTCGAGGCTAAGCATTGGTTCAGCCATGTCACAGGAGGTGCACCAGGCTACTAAGACTGACCCTTGCCTATTGAGAACCAGGATCAGAGTCCCACTCTCTCTCTGAGGTCAAGGCAAACTTAAGAAATAAGAAATCAACACCAAAAATGAGTACCCTCACCAGAAAGCAAAAGTTCATCAAAACAAACCACTGGTTAAAGAAAATTAGGTACCCGAAGATAATGAGGCTAATGATCGTTGCCGCAGGGTTACCTTGCGTTGCGATGATTTCGGGGCCCAGCATCCCCATGGCCCGGTCCTCAACCAGGCCTCGGGTAAACACTCCAACTGTACATTTTTCCTAGACATGGCTTGATCGTGGGAGCAACCGAGATTACCACCAGAAAAATGCACTCTTGTATTTTTGTTCCACAATACTGTACTTTATGTTGGTGAAAAAATTTGGATAAGTTACTGAATACTGCAGTTTGTATTGTTTTGAAGCCTCTACCAGCCTGCTGTTAGCCTTAGCTGTTCATATTTTGCAGTGTGCAAGACAAACTTAAATATATTGTAAGAATGGTTATATTCTCCTTTTTCTACATTGCACTTTTGTCTTCATTTTGAGCATTAACCACTGCACTGCACACCTGGTTTTGGCAAAAACTTCATAGTGCAATTGTAAAGGACATATTTTTGTTGTTTTTATTACTGTTCAGGTAAAGTTAATGTCAAAATGTTTTCAAACTCGACCACTTTCATTTCAAAACACAAAGTGTGAAGAAAACTTTAAAAAACATTAAAATATAGCCTAATTAAAAAAACAAAATAGGATCACTGCACATAGTGCCTCAAGGCGCTCTGTGCAGTGCGGTGGTTAATAATAAAATATGTACAGTACAGCATATTGATCATCTGGGTTACCCATCCTGATTTAGAAACAAAGTTCTAGAAATATCATAAATGCAAATTTGTGCCATTGAGGTTAGGATATTTTTATGTGGTGACGATGAGTTACAGTAACGTGGCTGAAGATACGATGACCAAAGTTTCGGTCTGCACGTTTCTTCACTTTTTGGTTTGTGGTTTGGTCATAATATTGTTACCTAAATTTTCTCACACATTTTTACCTATACTGTACTCTCTTTCCAAAACAGGTGTGTTGCCTAAATCTACTAATGAGAAGCACATCAGGGAAAATATACAATTAAACTTCTGTCTGAGTGATGAGGATTTAGAGGCACTATCCAATTTAAACATTAAGGAAAAATATGCCTGGGATCCCTCAGTTGTATTATAAGACTCTTGGTGTAGCTAATTAAGTGGTTTGTTTATGGGCAGCACATTGAATGTGTAGTCTTATATCCCATGCCAAAGAAGATAGATTTGTTGATAATACTGGACCAGTATTAAAAGAATTAGAGGCTCACTTGCTAAATTGCCTCACACGATGGCTCAACCACCCTTGTACCCAAGCTTGACTCCTCGGCTTGTTGATCCAGCTTGGTTCCAGGTAGACAAGCCAGTCGACCTCGCACAGGAACTCAAGGTATGAAAATGCTTGTTAAACCAACATTAGTGGTGTGTTGTATACAATATTTCAATTCAAAAGTTTTTGATAATTTTGCATTTTGAAGTACCTGTAATATGCAGATATTAGATACAGTATATCCATTACTATTATATTGGTATATTAGAAAATATTAGTCTTTCCTCTCTTTCTTAATGTTATCAAGCTGTGTAACTTAGTACGGTAATGATGTAGGAAAACATTCATTATATATATACTGTTTCAGAGATATATAACTGTAAGATGACACACAGAGAACACACTAACGTGATGCATCAAATGAACAAATCCACAAGGGCCGTGACGAGGATTCGAACCTGCGTCCGGGAGCATCCCAGACACTGCCTTAATCGACTGAGCTACGACAGGGTTAAAAGGGTTAAAACCGAAGTTCTACTGAACTTACTGGATCCCGTAGCCTCTCCGAGGCACAAACCAGGCTTTTACACAACCATCCCCTACACCCGAGCTATGTCAATAGCTATGTCAGGGGGGAGTTGTGTAAAAGCCTGGTTTGTGCCTCGGAGAGGCTACGGGATCCAGTAAGTTCAGTAGAACTTCGGTTTCAACCCTTTTAACCCTGTCGTAGCTCAGTCGATTAAGGCAGTGTCTGGGGATGCTCCCGGACGCAGGTTCGAACCCTCGTCACGGCCTCTGTGAATTTGTTCATTTAACTGTAAGATGAGCTGTAGCTCTAAGCTGGCTGACAAATTACAGGTTGTATTCTGTATCAATCTGTGTGAAAAAAATTGCACATGTCTTCCTGAAGTGTTTTGGGAGTAGTGTGTGTAACCTTTAAGCCTTCAGGCATTTTACAAGTCCAGAATCACTTTGGTTTATCAATTTATATTGTTTTGTAAGGCTTAGTTTACTATAAACTGAGAGGGAGGGGAAATATCAGGGGAAAGTGCCAAGCCATTACAACTGTATAGCACTTGGAAGGGGTCAGGATAAGGATTTAGGATGGGAACGTGGGGAAGGAATGGTGCCCAACCACTTGGATGGTCGGGGATTGAATGCCGACCTGCATGAAGCGAGACTGCCGCTCTACCGTCCAGCCCAAGTGGTTAGACTACAGTGACTAAGATTAATTAATTACTCTTATATATATTGATCTTAATTAAATACTTTAGTAATTAGGAGTGAAGTATTCAAGGAAATCTCCCTATTTTATGCTGCTTAATAGTGTGCTAAAAGCACACGTCATATTTAGATTTAAATCTGAATTATTTATATATACAGTATTGGATTTACTGGTACTGATTTTGAAATCCTAGCTTTTCAAATCATTTGAAAAGCTTTTAAATGCAAAATGCCTTCATATTGTGTAGATTGTGAGTCACTCACTTAGAAAGTGTGTAGGCATCTGATAAGTAAATAGGAACAGTGTATAAGATTGTTTTATGTTACTTATGCTTTAAAGCATTCATATTTTTTTCTTTGTAATGCAGATTTTTGTTACAGGAACAAGAGCAGATGTATCAGGCTCAGATTCAAGGAATCCAGCAAAAGGGCAATGATATTTTACCCATTGGAAAAAGTGCTGCTGAGCAATATAGTGAAGATGAAGAGGATGACAATGATGATGAATATGACGACGACGACAATGATGACGACGAAGAGGAAGATGATGACTCAGAAATGAATGATGATTACTCTGACCCGATGTTGCATTAGGCAAGAACTGTTGAATGTTTTCTTAGTCATATAGTTAGTTACACATTTTAATAGTTTAGTTTGGAAAGACAGTAAGAGAAAATGCATGAATATGGGAAAATATTTGGTGATAAAGTTGCAGAGGCTTGCATCTCAAAATTTAAAAGCCTCGGAAAGACAGGCAAACCAAAGGAAAGCACAGAGTGGACCTTGCTTGCTTGCTTCATAAAAGAGGACCATCATAAGGAGACATTAGAAGTTGTGGCTTTAGGAACTGGGTCCAAGTGTCTCGGTGCACAGCAGCTGCCAAGTGCAGGGGATGTTCTCCATGACAGTCATGCAGAGGTGATAGCAAGGAGAGCTTTCATGTTGTATCTCTTAGACCAAGTGGAAAAGGCTTCAAAGAGCAATATTAGCATATTTGAGCAGAAAGATGGTAAGTTTGCACTTAAGTCTGGGATTAGTTTTCATTTCTATGGCAGCCACACTCCTTGTGGCGATGCATCTATATTTCCTAAGCAGGAGTGGAATGAATGTTGTGAACAAAACATAGAAGCTATACAAGAGATAAATTCTGATAGCAGCTGCAAAAAACATGACTTGGAGATGGATGCTCCAGCTCATTTGAATGAGGACTGTACTGATATTGACAACAGAGAACCACCAATAAAGAAAATTAAGAGGAATGAAGTGAATGTCACTGAATTGGAGGACAGCAAAATGAATACTTTTAACAACATTATTGTAAAGGAAACCACTAACGTAAATAAAACAGAAGAAAATTCTGGAAATAAATATTCCAAATTTGTGAATAGCAAGGCTGTTGATAATGCTAGATTGTTTGCAGAAAATAACATTGGAAATATTACTGCAATGCCTGATATTTACCGTACTGGGGCGAAATGTGTAAGTGGTGAAAAGTTAGATCCAAAAATGCCTGGGTCTGATTATCATGTAACTGGTGTCTTACGCACTAAGCCTGGTCGTGGTGACCCAACCCTCTCCCTCTCCTGTAGTGATAAACTTTTTAAATGGACAGTTCTGGGCGTACAAGGGGCTCTCTTAATGTTGTTTCTTGAAGCACCTGTGTACATGAAAACAATAACAATTGGAAGATGCCCTTTCAGCCAGGAAGCAATGGAACGTGCCCTCTTCGGCAGATTTAAGAGTAAAGTAAGCAAAATTAAGCTTCCAGATGGGTTTCAAATAGTGACACCACTCATACTGTACTCTGAAGTTGATTTCCCTTTTTCTCAAGGCTGCATAATGGGAAATGCATTGGATGCTAGCAAGGTGATACCATCACCTACCAGTCTCATCTGGAGTGTCAGCAACACTCACTGCAGCAAGCATGAGGTTGCTACAAATGGACGAAAGTTGGGCACTACCAAAAAAAACCAAGGCACCTCAAAGGGCTGGGTCAGCATATGTCGTCGATCAATCTTGCAAAGGGTACAAACTCTCGGTCAAGAGCATAGTGAAGTTTTAAGCAGCCCAATAGACGTACATAATTTTTCATATGGAGACCTGAAATGCCAAGCAGAAAATTACTGCAGAGCTTGGAAGGAATTAAAAACACACGTTTTAACAAATTGGACAGTTAAACCAAGTCTTGTACGGGAATTCAAAATTTGATGATGTGTAGATTGGCATTGTTAAAATTGCTTGTTAGTCATATTGTATTATGTTATGATTAATTGTTTTTCTGTGTTGCTGATAATTTTGTATTGACTGCATGCAGCTACAGAATGTTTGGTGCTGGATTGGTTATAATATGTGCCAGAACATTTTAGATACTATTTTATTGAAAGTTCAACTAAAATGAGGCATTTTTTAAGTTTATTAAACTTACTGGCAGTCAAAATATCAATGTATGTTAATTTTTTTTAAGAACAAAGTAAATCTTGAATCCTAAAATAGTAATATGTATTTCATTAATTTGTAACTGATGCCATTAGGCATCTGTATTCCAAAAACCTTATTTAGTGTTATTTTCTGGGGAAGCCCCTACAGCTTCCCAGAGCTATCCAGGATAATATGGATATCCCTAACTTTGGCATCAGTCGATGTGGATGGAGTTCTAGGCCTACCGGGGACCACGAGCTAGAGCCTGGCCCCCTCAGAGAGGCACGAGGAGCGATGGCCTATAGAAATACACATGTGATTTTGGAGCATTCTATATTTGCCATTGACTGGGACAGGCACCCAGAAAGGTAAGTGCCCCAAAACAAACCCCTATTCTGGTTAAAAATGACGAAAATAGACAAACGAGTGGACAGAACTCCCTAATTGAAAACGAGCAAACAAGCATGACGTCACACGAGCCGCGCCACATGGGGCCTCGTAGCCTGGTGGATAGCGCGCAGGACTCATAATTCTGTGGCGCGGGTTCGATTCCCGCACGAGGCAGAAACAAATGGGCAAAGTTTCTTTCACCCTAAGTGCCCCTGTTACCTAGCAGTAAATAGGTACCTGGGAATTAGTCAGCTGTAACGGGCTGCTTCCTGGGGTGTGTGTGTGTGGTGTGGAAAAAAAAAAAAAAATAGTAGTAGTTAGTAAAACAGTTGATTGACAGTTGAGAGGCGGGCCGAAAGAGCAAAGCTCAACCCCCGCAAAACACAAACTAGTAAACACATGTCTGCGCAGCTCCCCCATTCCTGGGAGGGGGAAGGGGGACCCCCAGACCCCCACAACGGCACTCCACCCTGCAGTTCTTTGGCTGATGGGATATGGCTTGGTCATTGTGGCTCAAGCTCCGGACTCTTGTTGTGCGTCGACGGCTTCCTCTTCGGGTTTTCCGGGGTTCATTGCCTTGGCGCCTATCCGAGCCCTCGCTCGATGTGTTCACGGATGTGTTGTCTCTCGGCTGGGGCTCTGTGACCAGTGCTCACCATGTCGGCCAGGGGTGGTGGGGTCCATCCTTCTGTTGGGCCCACAGCACGGTGCGGAAGTTCACGGTGATGTGGTATGCGCTTCGGAGGGTTCCGATCGCCCGAGGACCAACTATCCAGCTCCATTTGGACTGCTCCCTGGTGGTTCATTGCCTGAACCAAGGGGGTTCGATGCGGTCCTTGGCATTTTGGGGCTGGTCGCTTCGGGTCACTCGTCTGCCGAGTTCTCAGGGTTTGGCTCTCCTGGCGGTTCAAGTCCGGGGGTGTCCAACGTCCTGGCAGACGAACTGTCCCAGTTCGTTTCCCTGTCCACGGAATGGACGGTCGATGCCGACTCATTCAGTTGGCTCTGCCAGACGTTCGGGTGCCCTGAGGTGGATCTCTTTGCATCGGCGTGGTCGAGGCGTCTTCCGGTTTATGTGGCGCCCTTCCCCGACTGTGACGCGAGATTGATGCCTTCCAGCAGGGCTGGTTGGGGGTAGGAGTTCCTGTGCCTCTTGCCCCCGGTTCAGCTGTTGATCCAGGTCCTGGCTCGCTTGGAGACTTACCAGGGGCAAGTAGTCCTCTTGGCCCCGCGGTGGCCGACTCAGCCATGGTTTCAGGCTCTGCTTGCCCAGTGTCCGAACACAGGTTTTTCCGCTTCTCCGCCTCTAACAGATGATCGCCTGGTCCGTTACAGGACTGGTTTGCTCTTCTCCTCAAGTCTTCGCGTTTAGTATTTTTAGCTCGGGGTTTATCACCATCTGTATGGTGATCAGGTGGCTTCATTGATGGCGTCCCACCTGCGGGCTTCGTCTCAGCGATAGTATGAAGTTTCCTGACAGTCCTTCAGTTTCTTCTTTGACAATCCATCGTTGTACTTCGCTTTCGGTTCGGGTGGTGGTGTCCTTTCTCTTGTGGTTGTTCCAGGACCGTCTTCTTATGCCGAATACTGTCGATTCGTATCTTCCGGCACTGGCGGAGCTGCTTCAGCTTGCTTTCGCTATAGATGTTACTTCTGCACCGTTGCGCAAACTGTCTCGCGGGTTGTTTCACCTCCGGCCTGCTCATGTGCCACCTGAGCCGTCCTGGTCTTTGGATAGGCTGCTCTCCTATCGTTCTCCACCTCGGTTTGTTGTGGCCCCTTTGGTTCAGGATTTTTTTTTTTTTTTTTTTTTTTTTTTTACTATTGGCCTCTGGGGGTTCATGCTCTCCTGCAGTGCAGGGATTTCTGCTCTTTTGGTCATGGTGATAGGTTTGTTCGTTTGCAGTCATCTCCTTTTCTGGTGAAGAATAAAGACTGATGCTTTCCGGAGGGATCCTTGGGTTGTTGGTGCTTAGTTGGTCAGGCCGGGGGTGCATCATGTCTTATATCCGGTTGCGGACCTCCGCCATTATTTGCGTGCCACAGCTTCTGTGTCTGGGGACGTGCTTTGGGTTGATTCCGTTTCCCTTCTTCCCTGTTCGCGGGTACGGGTCTCTCAGGTAGTCCGCAGGGTTATTAAGTCTAGCCAGCCTGCTGTCTGTCCCCGGGCCCATGACGTTCGTAAGTTCGCTGCTCTTGCTGCCATCTTTGGTCACATGTGGCCCAGCAGGGGTGCCATAGGCACAATCAGAGAACACTGTATAAACATCAGAGGTCCACGGATGTTCAACACCCTCCCAGCGAGCATAAGAAATATTGCCGGAACAACCGTGGACATTTCAAGAGTAAACTAGACTGTTTCCTCCAAGGAGTGCGGACCAACCGGGCTGTGGTGGGTATGTGGGCCTCCGGGGCCACTCCAAGCAACAGCCTAGTGGACCAAACTCACAAGTCAAGCTTGGCCTCGTGCCGGGCTTGAGGAGAACAACAACTCCCAGAACCCCATCAACCAGGTATCAACCAGAGAGCAAATACCGAAACTAATACTAAACAAATTACAGTATTAGATGCATCTTGCAGTGAAGCTGCAAGCAAGGTATACTTAGGTCTCTGAAGTGAGAACAAGATGTGTACTGCAACACAGTACTATACACAGTTCTCGTGTATATATTTCCCAATGTGGGCATCACGTTGATTTTAGATCGGGAAACCATCTCTTACACTTATGAACTATGTAACCTGTATAAGGAAACAAAAATATAGTAAATTAAGGAATTTATTTACCACCATTGCAATCTATTAATGTATGCAACAATTACATTTATCAGTAAATGGTCATCACTTATTTAAAAAAATGCATTCACATTTCAACAACATTTTATAAATTATATTACTGTATGTATTACAATTATTTAAAATATATATATGTGAAACAATTATTAGGTTTAACAGCCATTTTCTTTGTATATTACATAACGATTTGCAATTACAATTTATAAAATATGATAATTTCAACAAACTGCAGAATTCTTGTGACTACAGGACACCCACCTCTTGTTTCTAGATTTTTCAATCCCCACAATGTCTTTCAACCGAGTACACATATGTACAACATTTCTATTTAAAAAGATGTGCAGCAATATCGGTAGAATACCGATATTTTTATTAAGCATCGTAATGATGCAAACTTGATTTTACTAAAGGTGCATAGTAAAGTTCAAAAGATTAAGTAGAAAAAAGTAGTGGGAATATAAATATACTGTACATATATATCTTCATACAATGGATTAACATTACACATACATATATCTGCATATATTGTACATTCATATACACATGAACATATATAAATGCTATATACGTATGTATATATATATATATATATATAGATGTATATATACACACACACATATATTGAATCTATAGTATAGAGGAGATAATGTGGAAAAGGAAGGCCACAAGCAAAGTTTGAGAGAAAGGTGGAATGGGATTGGAGAATTTTAGTACTTCATTTTAGAGACAAAAAGATCTACTCTGTTCCCTAAGCTATAGTACAGCACTGCTCCCATGGCCTTATAAGAACCTAGCAAAGAACGGAAGAGTTACAGCTAGAGCAGATGCCAGGGAAAGGGTGAGAACTGGCGAGCTATTGCACAGATCCTCGTCGCATTGGCAGACATCAATATAATAATCTTCCGAGCGTTTCTGGTAGCAGTCATAGATCTCACGCCTCTGATAAGCACATTCTCGCACCACACGAACTTCACCACTGGGGACTGTTGAATAGAGAACATCAGTAGTAACTGTTTCCTGTGAATCATTTAAATAAGCATATTTCATGCAAAGTGTACCTTAAAAATGACTAAATGAAGATTATCAATTCCAAAGAATAAAATTTTTGTATCTTTATGGAATAACTAATATGGTAATCCAATTTCAAAAACAAAATTAATAATACTTACGTCTCATTGTTATTCTATTAAATAGGGAAAGGAATAGTACTATGCAGTACAGTACTATGAATAGCAAAGTAGCTACTGTCATTCCTGGGCATAGCTTAATAGTGCTGTACATGCTACGCTCCTGCACAGAGTGCAAGAGTTTTGTACATCTGTGTACTTGCCTAATTTTGCTTGTAGGATCCAGTATTAGCTCATTATGTTTGCATATACAAGCACAAGTGTGATTTTGCATATGTGCGTTTGCGGAAATTTGCATGTGTGATAAGTTTTAGCCCCAAGGCCAAGCAATGGAAATTAAAAATTCTTCAGCACTAAGAGGCCACAATTTGCAAAGGGTTTGAGCTCAGCAGTTACAAGCATTTTATTTGCTTCAATATTTTAGAGATACTGTAATTTGCTAGTTTGATGTGAAATTTGAAAAAAAGATCCAAAAATTGTTGTTATAAGCTTTGGTATGATTTACATTAAGCTATATAAATAGAACAAAAACAATGCCTCTAATTTCATTATGGACAAATCTTTCAAGAGGCAACAATTAAGCAAGGTAAGATTCAACAGGTAACTATGGTACTTGAAAGTTATTTATAACATTGACATCTGAGAAACAAGTACAGTACTTGCCTATAATGATTTTTTACCTGTACACTGAAACTAATATACCTATAACAAATGAGTATATCTTTACACCTAACAAAACATAATACTGCATGAGCAACTTAGAAAGCACGATGCTTATGGATACTATTATAACTTGACTTGCAATAGTGCTGCTGAATTTCAGTTGAATGCCAAGAATAACAAATGAGGGTTTTACCTAAAAGCATATTGACTGAGAATTTTTTTTTTCTTAAACACTGTCTAAAATTTCCTGAAGCTTGTGAAGCTTCACATGCAGGACACAAGCTAAATTGAGAGCACAAAAAAAAAATGTTCAAAGTGCATCTTTGGAATGCCATGCACATTGTACCAGGCATTGAAAAGGGTTTGAAGCCAAACTGAAGCTTTTAAAATATTAACCAAGTTATGAGAATAACTGTTAAAACAATAACACCTGTGGCAGTGTTCACCCGGCACAATCAACAGTGCAATTTACATTTAGGGGAAATTTTCATCCTTAATCTGATGAGTGTATGTACTGAGTTACATCTCTCAACTATTAAAAAAAAATTGTAGATTCAATTACTGTAGTTTTATATTCAATTATAAAAAAGTTGACAAAAACATTAAGTTAAAAAAAGGATGAATATATCAGCACCTTCGTGTAAAATGACCGACCGGCAATGCAATGCTGACTGCCTTCTTGGTAATAACAGTGAATAATTCACATGTGCATTACTTAGCCAGAAAAAAAAGCATGACAAAAAACTAAAATTATACTTATGTAGGATACTATGCATAATATAAATGTTTATGTGGAATTCAAAAAATTTTCAGCATATCCCAAGATGTATATTCTCTGAAAGAAGTCATCTGATTAACGTGAATTTTAGGCATAGTGTGCAAGCAATATTTTGCTAAAAGCATGGTATGCGCAAGCAATATTAGTTAAATATAGGACCTCTAAAACCATGCATTAATTAGTTCTCGACCATGCATTAATTAGTACTTAACTTCACGGTGACCTCAACATACCTTCTTTAACTGAAAAAGAAAAGTCGTACTTTCAATAAGAGTTAATTTATATTCGTAAAATGATAGACGTACTGTATTAGTAAATTTCTACAGATGTTACATAACCACAAAAAACATTATAACCAAAGTCCTTTTTTGTGTGTGTGTGTGTGATTTAAATGATCATATAATGAGGAAGTAGTCTCATGCAAGCGTTGTTGGGACTGGATAAGTGATCATGATGCGAGATGCACACTTGGTTAGGAAGACCTCAATAAGACATGGGTTTCTTGTCCAGGACAGTGTATTCTATACACATATGTGATCATTTAAGTCACAAAAGAGCTCAGATCTTTGTGCTATTGTTATCTTGTGGCTATGGACATCTGTGAACCACGTGCATCTTTAGTGATTTATTTGCACATACACCGGGAAAAATGGAGAGAAAAAAAAAAAAAGTTAACAAGATGCACATGTTATCATTTATTCTTTGAGATCATCTTTTGTTTAGAATGGCATTCTTATGAAAAATACTCTCCCAATATCTAGTTATTTAACCAAATTGCCCTTCTCCCTTAAATTTGGTGTTAAAATGACTAAACACTTGAAATTTATTAATTCATTTTTGTATTGGTTAGGTTTTCAACATTGTAAAAGCACAAACTGTATCTATAATTCAATGATAATTATATTTAATTAAAAAAGTATTAGCTTAGAAATACATTAACCAAATACCGTACTACAAAAAGTTGAGCTACCATCTGCTTTAGCCCTATAGGTCATTGACAATATAAAGGTAAAACACATGCAATTAGGCCGCCCAAAAGACTGTGGTCAGGTCATTTAAATAGGAATTCGATTTGGTTGCAATACAAATAGTATATGATCAATGATACTTGTGTATAAAAGATTAGGCTAACTGATTTAAACGCATTCATTAATTACCATTTAATATAATGGTAATTATAACCCAGAAAACCACAAGATTGTATTGTACTGGTATTTATGTCGGTATTTACGTGTTAGTTGCATTGACAATAATAGTAATAACACTACTGAATGGTGTTTAACCCCTTCAGTTATTTCTGAAACCTAATTTACCCTCCCATGATTGAATTTTTAATGTCGCAAAAATACAGTATTTAATTGTAGAGGAGAATGTGTAAAAATGCCAAGAATGCTCCACTTTAAAATACATTAAAAAAAAAATCTCCATGAATAATTGGAAGGTCGTTTAACAAGTAATTGGCTTGTCTCTTTCAAGACCACTTGAGATGGTGCCTCTAGGCAAATAATTTTTGTGGATATAAACAAAAATTATTGCACACAGAAATCACAATTGCGTGATGCATCAAATGAACAAATCCACAATTGCCGTGACGAGGATTCGAACCTGCGTTTGAGGGCATCCCAAATGCTGCCTTAATCGACTGAGCTACGACATGGTCAAAAGGAGTTGAAACCAAAGTTCTACTGAACTTACTGGATCCTGCAGCCACTCCGAGCCACAAACCAGGATTTTACACAACTACCCCCACATGCACTCGAGCTATGTCAATAGGCCGTTCTCCCTCTTCGCCCTTACTTCATTACACACAGAAATCACAATTGTGTGATGCATCAAATGAACAAATCCACAAGGGCTGTGATGAGGATTCGAACCTGCGTCCGAGAGCATCCCAGAAGCTGCCTTAATCGACTGAGCTACGACATGGTCAAAAGGAGTTGAAACCGTAACTCCGTAAGTAAGTTCAGTAGAACTTTGGTTTCAACTCCTTTTGACATGTCGTAGCTCAGTTGATTAAGGCTGTGTCTGGGATGCTCTCGGATGCAGGTTCGAATCCTCGTCACGGCCCTTGTGGATTTGTTTATTTGGTGCATCACGCAATTGTGATTTCTGTGTGTAATGAAGTATGGGTGAAGAGGGAGAACGGCCTATTGACATATCTCGAGTGCATGGGGGAAGTTGTGTAAAACCCTGGTTTGTGCCTCGGAGAGGCTGCACGATCCAGTAGGTTCAGTAGAACTTCGGTTTCAACTCCTTTTGACCATGTCGTAGCTCAGTCGATTAAGGCAGCGTCTGGGATGTTCTCGGACGCAGGTTCGAATCCTCATCACAGTCCTTGTGGATTTGTTCATTAAAAATTATTGTATATTTAATTGGCTGCCTTCTGACATAGTGTTGGGAAAGATCTCACCACAGGACACTGCAATACTCTAGCATCAGTAATACAGTACTGTACTTATATTTTTGTATTTAGAAAAATTATAAATTATTGACTCAAATAAATATAACAATAAACCTATATTTATTGACATTTAATTGAAAATGCCTTAATTCTGAATATATTATTAGGCAGATTAAATGTTTACAGTCAAATCACTGATTTGTCTTTCTCTGAATACATCATGAGTAGCACAATGACAAGAGCTTTATAGTGTCTTATTACAGAAGTACAGTACTTTCTAACAAAGAATAAAAGTGATCACACTATAAATCAGAACATCACAACTCTCAGGAGAAGGTGTCTGCTAGTTTAGCATCCCCTTGTAGCTTAGAAAACAGGTGGACCTCTCTGGCCATGTGTAAAGCCTGTTGGAACTGTTTGGCCATGTGTAAAGCCTGTTGGAACTGTTTGGCCATGTGTAGAGCCTGGTGGAACTGTCTGACCATGTGTAGAGCCTGGTGGAACTGTTTGGCCATGTGTAGAGCCTGGTAAAACTGTCTGGCCATGTGCAGAGCCTGGTAGCAACCTGTTCTCTTACAAATTATGTCTGAATTTAGCCGTTTGCACGTATGGCTGAAAACTGATGTAATTTGAAAAAAAATTTAAATATATTTCAGATTTATTTATTTTTTTCAAAACAGTAAGGGTCCTCTGGTAGGTTAGGAGGGCAGGAAATTCTCCTAAAGTGTCAAGACATCATGAAAACCGTTAATTACAAGTTTCCTCTCCTAACCTAATAGACTATGCTGGAAGACCCAAACAGAAAACGGGACAGTACATCACTTTCGTGAGCCGATTTCATTTCAAATTACGTCAGTTTTTGGCCATAGCGCACATACGAGCGAAAAGTGACGTTATTTTGAGAGGACTGGTTGCTGGTAGAACTATCTGGTCATGGACAGAGCCAGATGGAACTGTCTGGCCATGTGTAGAGCCAGGTGGAACTGTCTGGCCATTTGTAGAGCCTGGTGGAACTGTCTAGCCATGTGTAGATCCTGGTGGAACTGTCTGGCCATGTGTAGAGCCTGGTGGAACTGTCTGGCCATGTGTAGAGCCTGGTGGAACTGTCTGGCCATGTGTAGAGCCTGGTGGAACTGTCTGGCCATGTGTAGAGCCTGGTGGAGCTGTCTGGCCATTTGTAGAACCTGGTGGAACTGTCTGGCCATGTGTAGAGCCAGGTGGAACTGTCTGGCCATTTGTAGAGCCTGGTGGAACTGTCTGGCCATGTGTAGAGCCAGGTGGAACTGTCTGGCCATGTGTAGAGCCAGGTTGAACTGTCTGGCCAAGTGTAGAGCCTGGTGGAACTGTCTGGCCAAGTGTAGAGCCTGGTGGAACTGTCTGGCCATGTGTAGAGCCTGGTTGAACTGTCTGGCCAAGTGTAGAGCCTGGTGGAACTGTCTGGCCATGTGTAGAGCCTGGTGGAACTGTCTGGCCATGTGTAGAGCCTGGTGGAACTGTCTGGCCAAGTGTAGAGCTTGGTGGAACTGTCTGGCCATGTGTAGAGCCTGGTGGAACTGTCTGGCCATTTGTAGAGCCTGGTGGAACTGTCTGGCCATGTGTAGATCCTGGTGGAACTGTCTGGCCATGTGTAGAGCCAGGTTGAACTGTCTGGCCAAGTGTAGAGCCTGGTGGAACTGTCTGGCCAAGTGTAGAGCCTGGTGGAACTGTCTGGCCATGTGTAGAGCCTGGTTGAACTGTCTGGCCAAGTGTAGAGCCTGGTGGAACTGTCTGGCCATGTGTAGAGCCTGGTGGAACTGTCTGGCCATGTGTAGAGCCTGGTGGAACTGTCTGGCCAAGTGTAGAGCTTGGTGGAACTGTCTGGCCATGTGTAGAGCCTGGTGGAACTGTCTGGCCATGTGTAGAGCCTGGTGGAACTGTCTGGCCATGTGTAGAGCCAGGTGGAACTGTCTGGCCATGTGTAGATCCTGGTGGAACTGTCTGGCCATGTGTAGAGCCAGGTGGAACTGTCTGGCCATGTGTAGAGCCTGGTGGAACTGTCTGGCCATGTGTAGAACCTGGTGGAACTGTCTGGCAATGTGTAGAGCCAGGTGGAACTGTCTGGCCATGTGTAGAGCCTGGTGGAACTGTCTGGCCATGTGTAGAGCCAGGTGGAACTGTCTGGCCATGTGTAGAGCCAGGTGGAACTGTCTGGCCATGTGTAGAACCTGGTGGAACTGTCTGGCAATGTGTAGAGCCTGGTGGGACTGTCTGGCCATGTGAAGAGCCTGGTGGAACTATCTGGACATGTGTAGAGCTTAGTGGAACTGTCTGGCCATGTGTAGAGCCTGGCGGAGCTGTCTGGCCATGTGTAGAGCCAGGTGGAACTGTCTGGCCATGTGTAGATCCTGGTGGAACTGTCTGGCCAAGTGTAGAGCTTGGTGGAACTGTCTGGCCAAGTGTAGAGCTTGGTGGAACTGTCTGGCCAAGTTTAGAGCTTGGTGGAACTGTCTGGCCATGTGTAGAGCTTGGTGAAACTGTCTGGCCATGTGTAGAGCTTGGTGAAACTGTCTGGCCATGTGTAGAGCTTGGTGAAACTGTCTGGCCATGTGTAGAGCTTGGTGGAACTGTCTGGCCAAGTGCAGAGCTTGGTGGAACTGTCTGGCCAAGTGCAGAGCTTGGTGGAACTGTCTGGCCATGTGTAGAGCTTGGTGAAACTGTCTGGCCAAGTGCAGAGCTTGGTGGAACTGTCTGGCCAAGTGCAGAGCTTGGTGGAACTGTCTGGCCAAGTGCAGAGCTTGGTGGAACTGTCTGGCCAAGTGCAGAGCTTGGTGGAACTGTCTGGCAAAGTGTAGAGCTTGGTGGAACTGTCTGGCCAAGTGTAGAGCTTGGTGGAACTGTCTGGCCAAGTGTAGAGCTTGGTGGAACTGTCTGGCCAAGTGTAGGGCTTGGTGGAACTTTCTGGCCATGTGTAGAGCTTGGTGGAACTGTCTGGCCATGTGTAGAGCTTGGTGGAACTGTCTGGCCATGTGTAGAGCTTGGTGGAACTGTCTGGCCATGTTCAGAGCCTGGTTGAACTGTCTGGCCAAGTGCAGAGCTTGGTGGAACTGTTTGGCCAAGTGCAGAGACAGGTGGAACTGTTTGGCCATGTGTAGAGCCTAGTGGAACTGTCTGGCCATGTGCAGAGCCAGGTGATACTGTATGGCCATGTGGAATTGTCTGGCCATGTGCTGAACCTGCTTCAAAGGATCTCACAGACGGGGGTGGTTTGAAAGTTCCAGGAAATGTTGAGACTATTGACATTTGAATATGCAAATTATACAGATGATCTGAGTACAAATTTAGTCAAACTGGCAGTTCACTATAGTTAACAAGAATACTGTACTGTACACTATAAATTCTATAGTACTAAGCAAAATAATGGGCGTACAAGGTCATGCATTAAATAATACCGTACTTAACTTCATGAGGATTTCAACATACCTGCATCAACTGAAATTTAAAAGTCATACTTTAATATAAGTTACAAATTGTTGCACCAAAACAGAAAATTAATATTTTTATAACATACAATAACAAATACAGTGTAGAAAGAAAATTACAATTGCTTTTATAATTTAAATGACCACATCATAAGGGTTCAACATGTGTCCCAATCAAGAACTGTTATGTAATAACTGTAACTGGGTGGGTAAGCATGTGGACACAAGACCCACACTTGGCTAGGAAGGCTGACAAGATATGCCCTAATATAAGATAAATCACAAAATTAATAAACCGAGCACAGAATATATTAAAATGCCTTACTGGAGGGACCTCGGTGACCCCCTGTAGCTATCGTACAGGAAGCCACCAAATGGCCCCTTCCAGAAAATGCAATGTCTTTTCTAAAATTTAATTGATCATGCCTGTCATTAACTACCTGAGTAGCAAAATTATCAACTATGCTCACAAATAAAAATAAACAAATGTTTAACTTTGAAAATTATAATGCCACAGCGATTATTATAGCTAAATGCACACATTCAACTATTCCCTCTAACTTATCACTAATGTTTTTATGTGACTTATTATTTAATATGACCCTGCTGGGCTACTGCCTAAGCTGGGAAGTTTGGAGACATGAATAAAAAACAGATCAAACACAGGAGGAAATTAATACAAATTGGGGATGGAGAGGTGTGGGAATGAGGAGAAGGAAATGGAAAAAGGAGTAAACAGCATACTGTTCTGTACAATGCTTTCATTCAAAATTTAACAACGGGTGGCTACAACCTCACTAAATACCACCACCATAATATTTTATGCCGCCACCAGAACCAATGAAGATATTATATTTTATTATCAGATTAACATTAGGCTTATCGATTCTTATATATAGAAGACTCATGCTACCACAAAAAATTATTACACCTGTATCTGCACTGGATTCGAAAGCCTTGATGTGGTAGTCTCGTGCTGCTTCAAGAATTTGTGAATTTTATAAATGGTTATAGGATTATTGGTACTTTCATAAAATTATAAATTTCAATGACAATTTTGTAATCCTCATCCCATTCACAATATAAATATTATTCCTGTTAGGTGAAAAAATATCATTAGGAATTAAATAAATAAAAAATACCCTACCCTACGTGGTTCTACTCACGGTAAATTTTGCTTTTGCGACAGAAGGCTTCTGTTACGTTGTCGCAAGTCTGGGTGAAGGCTTCCTGCAAGGCAGGTGAATCATAATTGAATTCATCTTGGCAGGCAGAATCCATTTTAGAATTGCACACGAAGCATTGAATACCATAAGCTGTGAAAAAATAAGTGCAATTAGTACCGTACAGTTTAACATCATCTAAAATCAACTTTAATATACAGTACATGGCATGGCCTATACACAAAGTAGTCAACCTTTCCCCTCAATGACTGTCAGTGAAAACAAGCAACTCTTCCAGTCAGGCTCGGCTGCCTATGCGTTCGTACAGCCACTCAAATGTCCCAGCCTTGCTGTCTTTCTGCTCGACATCAGATGACATGTCAAGGAAATTCTACCAGATAACCTGAGTAACTCAGCAGGAATACATGATCCCCACTACATAGAATGCAACACAAAATTGGGTAGATTTTAGTAGTTTCAAAGTGTTGTATGACAAAGAATACTGGGAAGATGGGACACCACGAGCATTGCTCTCATCCTGTAACTGCAGTTAGTTAATTACTTAGGTAATTACACACAAACATATAATGAAAGAAAGTATGTGCTGTTCAAAGAAACTGGAATAATGTGAAATTATGAATTTTCCATCTTAGTGCTTCCATAAATCAAACATATCCAAGCAAAAGTATTTTTTTTATCTTTCATTTTTACATATTTTGCATATGATAAATATTCATTTCTTGTTTTTATGGAAAAATGTTCTAAATTCCAGAAGATATACACAGAAACAGTAATGTACATACATAAACAAAATTATTTAGATTTATTATTGCTATGTACTGGGTGTATTAATTGGTCAAATTTCCAAGGCTGATGAAGACTGTCTGTGATGAATTGCCTGTCCCTTCCTGTCCTCATCACAATCGACTTGAGAATGGTCCAGGACGGACCGAAACGTCGTCGTCCCTTCAACTTCTAGTGTGTGGTCTGGTCAACATACTTCAGCCACGTTATTGTGACTTATCGCCTGCACAAGGCTGATGAACTATTGCATACAGGTCTAGCTTTAAATAAACATAATAATTTGTTTAATAATAATGAATATAACCTGTCTTCCTTGTCTTATTATTTTACTTACTTTATTTTACTTTGCCCGAAACGCTGCGCATGTTAGTGGCTCTAGGTATCGTATGTACTAGCTCTATCTATAAATCCAACATTATGTTTGTAACTCGTTTTCTACATATATACTTTTACCTGAATAAACATTTTTATTTTCATTGTTTATTTTTTTTTTATTTTAAATACCAATGCAGTTGAGGTTTAACTTATATTTCAATGCCTGCATCAAACCCAATATCTTATATTCAAATCGCATATGCTACACAATGAGTTTATATCTTCAGGCCTACATTGCTTGGTAGGCCTTTAAAGGATTTATCTTCAATAATGTATTAAATATAAATTAACCTTCTAAAGAAAGGGTTAATACAGTTAGCTCCCAATCGATTAGACCTAAGAGTTCAATTCCCATGCAGAATAAGACCTATGGGCACACTTCCTTACACCTGATGCAGCTGTTCACCTATCAGTAAATTTGGTATCCAGGTCAACTGTTATGGATTGCATCCTGAGGATGGCCTAAACACTAAGGTGACATCATTAAGTCTTGCAGATATCAATAAGACAGCCAATAAAAAAAAGTATTGCATTTGCAACAGTCCGGTAGATCATTACAACATTGTTTCAATAAAACAGATGACATCACAGCATTAATAATTTAGCATCCTACAACTGTTGTTAAAATTATCTTCTGGTTTAACTAGTCGTGCACAGCCGTGCAAAAAAACAATAATCTCAGGACTCTCTGTACACCAGTTAATTGACAGTTGAGAGACGGGACCAAAGAGCCAAAGCTCAACCCCTGCAAGGTGAGTACAAGCTGTGTGCATCTGTGTAAGAAACAACTCATGCACAACTCCATGCAGTTGTGCATAAGAACGGTGAGTGCAGTCGCACAAACTAGTCGCGTGCTGCCCCAAAAATCAATCCACATGAAGGTACACAAAAACAAGGAGTGTGCAACTGTACACGAAACTAGCCGGGGTCCCAGATATTATACAATCGGGTTCGTTCCCGATTTACAATCGGGAATTCCAGGTTCGAATCCCGGACAGGACAGAAATGGTTGGGTGCTGTTGTTGTGTGTGTGTGTTGTGTAAGATTCGCTACCTGGAACAAAAAGCTCTTAAGTAGCACGGGCTATGGTGAGCCCGTAAGCGTTTCCAATCACCTAATGCCTCTGATCACCTAGCAGTAAATAAGTACCCAAGAATTAGTTAGCTTCTTGTGGGGTTGCATCCTGAGAAGGGGCCTCGATATAAGCCTGACATACACTGGTTGCTTATTCCCGACAATGAATTTAAACAAGTTGTATGCAGCTGCATCCCCCACCCACTGCTGAACAGAACAGCGATGAAGAGCCCACCCCTTAGCAACGAGCAGGAGAACAAGTAGCAATGGACAGCATCCCTTAGTGAGCGAGCAGGAGCCCTGCGGCCACAGCTGCCCTCTGCACCCAATTAACCTCCGCCAGGATGTGCTTCAATCAAGCGTACTCTACACACTACAACCAATACTTCTGCCACCAGGGCAAAGAACCAGCAACGCAAAGCTAAAGTGATAATCTAACGAAGTGTATTCTGTGTAAATTTGTAACGAGTTTGCAACTTTTGTCGGGTATGTAATGTTAGGGCAAGAAGAGAAACCAACCTGTGCTCCACGTGGCTTTATTCCAACAACAAACAATGACATCACTTACATGACTTACTATTTACAATGTTTATAAGCAAAAGAGCATTTGCTCAAAACATGATACACCTAACCTATGTAGTACTTAATTCTAACAGGGTGAAATTCGCACACAAAATTTACAATAATTCTAAGAACCAGTACAGTGGATATTCCTCATTACAATACCAATCTCGCCAAAACTCGACACTCACGAAATCTACATGTACCCACCTCATACAACAAAACCAGATGGAAAACACGTTATCAAACAATTATCGACGTTAGTTTAGTTAATTTATTATGCACCCCATACCCATCCTGTGGGAGAACGATTTTCACAGACAAGTAAACAGCTTAGGCCCATATACTATCTACTATATTCGTCAATTCACAAATTTGACAAAAACTGGACAATAACCCTTAATGTACACGTCCCGCTACTACAATCGACTTGGAATGATTATCGAACCATTATCTAACCAAGTTGGATCAAAGATTATCCAACCCGTCCTTGCATACAAAAATCCAAGCTCTTTAATCCAGCCATCAAACCCTCCCAGTTTATGAATGAAAAACGGTTTACACTCGACTCACACCTGATGACATCCGAACACATCCAGAACAGGTGTCTCGCTCACGTCCTCTGTTCGAACTACAATTTTATAAACAGCCCGTCCTCCAAACAAAGATCCAAAAGTGATTCCATCCACCCGCAAAACCCCGTTTATGATTGAAAAGCGGTTTACACACGACTCACAACTGATTTCGTTCGAACACTTCCGGAACAAGTGCTTCACTGACGAGTTTTGTTCGAACCACATCGCTATAAATGCAGCCCGTCCTCCAAACAAAGATCCAAAAGTGATTCCATGCACCCGCCAAACCCCCTGTTTATGAATGAAAAGCGGTTTACACACGACTCACAACTGATTTCGTTCGAACACTTCCGGAACAAGTGCTTCACTGACGAGTTTTGTTCGAACCACATCGCTATAAATGCAGCCCTTCCTCCAAACAAAGATCCAAAAGTGATTCCATGCACCTGCCAAACCCCCTGTTTATGAATGAAAAGCGGTTTACACACGACTCACAACTGATTTCGTTCGAACACTTCCGGAACAAGTGCTTCACTGAAGAGTTTTGTTCGAACCACATCGCTATAAATGCTTCACCCACGTACTACAAATGCAAATAATCGCCAACCGAACCTAAATACCTAACCTAACCTATGCCTATATATGCACAATATGTTAATATACTATAATATTAATTTATATTTGAGAAAATTCTTGTTTTGAATAAACAGCATGTTAAAATTTATGAATGCGTCTGTGGGGGCGACCGCTGGATGTAATGGAGTCGAGGACGGGTTGCAGCAAATGCTTCACCCACGTACATCAAATACAAATAATCGCCAACAGAACCTAAACACCTAACCTAACCTACGCCTAACTATACATATAATTTTTATGTATTTTATACAATTTTATGCATTTATGTATATATAAAATATTAATTTATATATGAGAACAAACCAATTTTTAATACACAGTATGTTAAAATTGATGAATGGATTGATAAAATAACTTAATAACATTAACGCTGTAAGTTAACAATGCATTGTACTTGTTGAATTAAAATGACTTGAAGATTAACATCGTGAGATTAACCTTATATATTAAACTTGGTAAGTGTACCAAAGGTAAATTTAATAATGTGTAACTTCCAGAGAGTAAGTCTAACACTGGGGACTTAGAGTGGTGAAAGTGTGCTTCTTTGGGTAAAATAACAACGTAATACAGCAGTTAGTTTAGTTCATTTATTATGCACCCCATACCCATCTTGTGGGCGGTAGTGGAAAGAGTTACAGAAGCACATAATGGGCTCAGGGACTGAACCCCACAATTCATTTAATACAGTAACATTGTATGAGGTTAACATTGTATTGCCAGGTGGGGGGGGGGGGTCCGGCAGTGCCACCCCAAACACCAGACTACATCAGGCTACTGGAGCGGAGCCCCATTATAATATACACTGTTAAAATTGATGAATGCGTCTGAGAGGGGTGACGGCTGTCACTTTAATGAGTCTGGCCTGAGGACGGCTTGCAGAAATGATTGGGAACATTTCCTATCACCTAATTCCCCCTATTTAACTAGCAGTAAATAGGTACTCAGGGGTTAACGTATAGTGGGGGGGTTGCATCCTGGAGAGGGTCAGTAATTCGACCTTGTGGGGGGGGGATGGAATTGAACTAGATTGAACTATCAGGGGAAAGCGCCAAGCCATTACGACTATATAGCGCTTGCAAGGGATCAGGATATGGATTTAGGATGGAACGAAGGGAAGGAATGGTGCCC